CGGCTTCGGGTCCTGTGGCCGGTCTGCATATTGTTGATGATGGCCTGCATAACAGCCAGGGATATTGCTATTTCCTCCAACTGTTTCGACATAACTTGCACTTCTGTCAGGAGCTGGAGAGGTTAACGGGCGCAGGAGTAGGCATCGTCTGGTGAACCATGAGTAGCGCGACTGTTAAATCATAATGACCGAATAGAGTGTAGAGGAAAAAATACGGTAGGAAAATTGAAATACTAAAATCGAGTCAGAAGAATTTGTCAGGCCACAAGCTAGAAATATATGCAATCTAAAATTGTGTAAAATCAGATCCGCCAAAGTAAGTGTTCGGAATAATTGCCAGTGATGTGACGTAGAGAAAATTAAAAAAAATCTCCGAAAACATTCCAACCTAAATAAATAATACGAGAGATCACCAATTTGTAGGTGCTGGCTTATTGGTAACACGAGATAATACGTTTATGTCACCAAAGAACGTTCGTACGAAAATAGAACGATACACTTCACGAAAGTTATATAACTGCGCTTATATATAGTCACTACGCGTCGTAACTACGGATGCATTGTACAAACCTGCGTTTAAAACGCAGCACACCACATTTCGGGCATGTGTAAGATGAAAGCCAAAGGGCTTAAGATATATAGCTAGTAGATTCAGTTCCCCTTCCTCTACGGGTTTAATTGGTTCCGCCGTTGTGCATTTGAGATAAATGCAACATATCATGCCACTAAAATCTACCAGGAATGTAAGGTGTGCACCGACGTAGACGTGACTTAAAAAGAAAACTTTGGGCTCACCAATGAGGGTGTTCGACGTGACCCTAGTCCGCACAGCCGTCCCACTCGAGTCCTATACGAGTCCTATTTGAGTCCTATCCGAGTCCCACGGGAGTCTCATTGAAGTCCATTTGTACCCAAAATGGGACTTCAGTAACCCTCCTCCCAATGGGAATCGTATGGGACTCCCATGTGACTCTTATGGGATTTAGATAGGACTCAAATAGGACTCCATGGGACGGAGTGAACTGCCTTACATTGTAATGCTCGAAGCTTACATTTCTCCACCCTCAAGCAAGCTTACTTAAGACTAAGATAGACCAGCGTATTTCTTTTCTTTTTTTCTTTTTCATTTTACTTCCTTTTATTGAATATACAAAGATACAATCTTCAGGAAGGGGAAGCGGCCAATCAATGGGCTGCCATACAACACACAAATGGGGAAATTCAGGCGGTGGTGGTGGGATTCGAACACTCGTCCTCCGGGGTGATAATTTGTGACGTTACCACCGGGCCACCACCGCCCGGAATATGGCAACTCATACCTCATCCAAATCGCGAAATAGTGATACCCACGACTGACGTTTACTACTGCAACTCCCCCTGTATAAATATCACAAGTAACTCCAAAGTCACGCAGGAGTTTGCATTTGAAGCGAAAAATAGCACAAAATATCTCACTAGTTAGCAATCCGATAACTCTTCGGGGTGCTTTTTTTTGTTAGGTCACACTTGAGGCAAATGTAGCAGACCTAAGTTCACGGATCACACCAGCTATTCCGATCCGGAAACCCAGCAAGGGACCGCAATGCCCGACACAAGTGGTCATCCCCCGGTAGGGGACGTACACGGCTGAACTGAGTGCGGCGACAGAAGCAACAGTAGAATCACCTGCTACCTCGGAACCTACACACACCCAGGCCTCTCCCTTATCTGCTTCTTCAAAGATAACAGCTCTACCTGCCAGCTCGCCACTGCCAAAAAAATCTTTAACCCCATAACGCCGGCCTCTATTGTGAAAGTTGCCCCTTCGTATGCAGATGTAATTTTCACTCCACTTCGAAAAGCAGCTCCCGCAGCTGCACCGCAGGCAGAAGCACCCGAAAAGAAGGGCAGGAATATCGTCTGCTGCATCGCCCTCACGGACAGACTCGACTCCCTCGTCCACGACATTCAGGCACGGTGCGTGTAACATGTCACGGACAGTTGAGAGGTGCCCCCGCGATTCGCAGGAACCTATGCAGCAGGGGAAGCTCCCTCCGAGATTTCAGTGCTTTATTGTTGTTATTCTTCCGGAGGCCGAGGCTACCACTGTCCAGGCTCGCCTTGACCACGACATGCGGCTGCTGAGGTCGCACATGGTTACCTTGTTTGATGGCGACGAGGTGGAACCAGCGGCATCGATCAGAGTAAAAGCGGCATTCAGGCTTGGAAAACCCCGCTAGGATGATTCTCCACTACCACTGAAAGTGGTTCTTTGAGCAGAAAGCGAGGCCAAAGCGATACTCCAGCGAACCCACGAGCTGAAGGGAACTCCGGTGCGATTCCTCAGGGATCGTGGTCCGGACCAGCTCAGTAAATTGAAAACTGCATTAGATAAACTTAGGGAGCGCCGTGCAAAAGGGGAAACTGATATGTGTATACGGGATTTTCGTGTGCATCGGAAGAGCCCTAAGTTGCGTTGGCTACCCTTGGTCAATGAGAGGACCCAGGAGACTGTTTAACCACGGACGGGAGATTAGCTTGAGGCGTGAATGGCGAGGTGACCACGCTGTGCTAGCCTCAACCAATACCCGACGGATGCTGGGAGAAAGGGATGAGCTGGAGGACTGGGTTGTATCCCAAAATCCCGATCTTTTTGCAATCACTGAAACCTGGTTGACACCGGATGTCCGAGACTCCGAAATATCACTCCACGGATACGCAGTGTTTCAAACGGATCCATCATCGTCACGTCGAGTTGTTCTTTTTGTCCGCTCGGGTCTCCCTGTTCGAGCACTGGAGAACTACGCCCATCCGAAAGGATTTGGAGAAGCCCTGTGGTGCAGAATCGAACTTTGTACCAGAGGTTTTACCACAGCTGGAGTGATTTACCGCACATCAGCTGTGTACGTCCCAGAGCTGCTGGCCAGCATACAGAGGTACGCCGGTGATGGACACTGTCTTTTCTTGGGTGATTTCAACGCACTCCATGTTGATTGGGAAACTGACATCTGCTCTCACCATCAGATTTGTTTTCCAGAGGACTTCTTTTTGCTGTCCGTGCCCTCTCGCTTGTTCAGCATGTTCATGTGCCCACGCGGATAGTTGGGGATCAAAGATCCATCCTTGGCCTAGTATTTTCGCCGACATAATCAGATAGGATCGACTTCCTTTCACCAATTGCATCTAGTGATCACTCCGTTCTGCGTATACACTGGAGGCGTGGCGTAACCCAAACGGACAGATCACAGGACGGACGGAATTCGTGGCGCTCATCCTTTCCGGATATGCGTTAGGCTGCATCGTTCACAAATTGGGATTTCCGGAACCCTGAGGATGTGGATGTATCCTGGGAGTTGGTTCGTCATAGAATCCAGCAACTCGTGCTGGAATTCTCTCCACCTCGTCTCCACCGAACACGCGCTATGGGCCCGCTGTGGTTTGACCGAGAACTGCGGGCGTGCCTCCGGCAGCGGAAGAAAGCCTGGTCCAGGTACCGTGCAACAGGCGGGGGTTATGAGGAATATCCATGTAAATAACATAAATAATATAACTCAGACAATTCTTTAACGGTGAAGCCCATTGTTCGTTGTACACAGAAGACAATTTATCTGTATCCATCTCTTAAACAGTTTAGTCATAACCACTTGCCGACAATTTGTATCACTGTGTTCCTTCATAATCTGCGTTCATCATCCGAAAATGTATATATTGCAAATTGACTAGCTCCATTCTGTCCTTGGAACTCATTTCCACGCATTCATTCATTTATTCACCTCCAGTTTTGCATTTCCCAAGTGTCCTTTTCATGACAATCGCTTATATTTATGTGCTCTCCATAACAGATCATCCTCAGCACTCCATTACATAACCTTGTCCGTTTTGTGTCTCCATCCCAGAGCATCTTCACGAAATCTCCTGACCCATGAAAAAAAAAACAATTTTTATGTCCATAATCTCTTTGTACTTTCACTTTTGGCTTTCCGCCGCCTTCTTTGTACCATTGTTGTAAATTTGATCGTGCGCACTCGCATGCTTCACGGGCTTCGTGAAATATACCATTATTATTATTATTATTATTATTCGGAATCATTGTACTGCACTAAAAAAATGCAAGAGAACCAGATTCCAGGAACGACTAGCAGCGGATTCATTAAAGGCACCAAAGCAAAGATGCTGGCATCACATTATGCCTCAGTGCATACCCCAGCCTCCAGCACGCTGGCACATCTACTGGACGCTGACACTGCACTAAACTGGGCCCCATTTACCATCGGAGGGGTGGCCCTGGAGCTGCGTCGACTAAAGGTTCACCAGTCACCTGGACCCGATGGTGTGCATCCGCTGATCCTGAAGGAGCTGGCAGATGAACTTCCAGCTCCACTGTGCAACCTGTTCAATCTGTCATTCACTCAAGGGCGTTTGCCGCGGCAGTGGAAGAACGCTGTCATTGTTCCACTGCCCAAAGTTGGGGATAGGAGTGACCCTTAGAACTACCGACCAGTCAGCCTTACGAGTGTTGTAGGTAAAGTAATGGATCGCCTGGTGGCTGCACGGCTTCGGCAGCATTTGGTGTGCCACGGTCACCTCTGCCATCAACAACACGGTTTTCGGTTGGGTCGCTCATGCCTCTCAAACCTGCTACTTACACGTGAATGCTGGACCGAGGTCAAGGTCAAAGGACAAAAGGACAAAAAATAATAAAAGGTCTACTGCACACCGAGCACGAAA